AGCAAAAGAATAAACATGAGGATACGCATGGGGACAATCATGGGTACAAGCATGAGGATTTGCGTGAGGATAAGCATGTGGACAAACATGGGGACAAACATGATGATAAACATGAGGACAAGCATGAGGATAGGATAAACGTGAGGAGGAAGAGATGATGAGTGAGATATAGGTGCACAGTCACCGGACGTGTTCCTAAGTGGTGTGGATTTGCCGGTGGCGAAATTGAAAAACCCACACAGATTCTGCAAGTGCTGAGGTTTCAAAATGACAATCCCAGGAAATTACTGTGGTTGCTTCTTGGTTCCTCCCTACAGTTTGGTTCTTCCCGCGTTTGCTTTTACTTTGTTCGAAGTATGGTGGGTCTGAAGATGTTTCTGGATCTTCGCATTGTTTGGATGCCCGTTTTACTGATTCATATTGATTCATATTGATTCACCGCTTTTGGTTTTTATTTTTGAGGTCTCGATTCGCATTTTTATCATTTTTCCGAAAACACGAGGCAAATATCAAGAAAACACGAATTCGTTTTTTTGCAGCAGCTGTCCAACTGGGATGACCACTTGGATGTTGGGCGCTGATTGGGCTGGAGAATGCCGATGTCAAGAGGGTTGGTCACGTGGTTTCTTTACGTGTCTCTTCCACACATATCGAACCTGAAAATACATGAAAAACATATAAAACCATATTGAGAAATGGTTTTTGATTTTTAATGTTTTTTTTCTTTGTGTTTTATCAGTTGTTTTCATTTTTTGATCCTGTGGAGAATTAAAAGCTGCAAAACGTAGAATCTTGAAGCACATGGTGCATTTTCTCTAAATGATTCCAGCAGCGACTTTGAGTTGAAGTTGTTCTTCTGCCCAGCAGTCATAATTTGCTCCGACAGTACCGAGGTTCCAGCAAACATGATAGAAGTGTCTGAAACACATTTGAACTACTGTATCTTTCACTTGAAAAGATAAACAGGAAAGAAAAGTTCGCTTGAGGGATCAACATCCAATCCACAGGACCCTCAAGCTGTCAAGCCTGATTGAGTGATTGAGGTATTGGATCAACGGCACTTTCAACTGCTCAATATGTCCGATGGGAATGAGCTGTCCAGGTGATCATGCACGTCCACTACAGGATGCAGGATTTTGGGTGGAACCGACTATCCGTTCGGTTGACATTTGGGGAACTGGGCACTGGCAGGAACTCTGGGGTGGACCGTTTTCAGTCTTCCAGTGCCGCGACGCCTTGCAATGCCCTGGTGGGGCCGTGGGATTATGTGCCACTGGCCGAGAGGGTCGTGCATGCGGCAGCTGTATCACCGGCTTTGCAGCCCAATTTGATGGGACATGTGCCAAGTGTGGAGGACAGTCATTGTGGCCCATTATTGTGGTGCTTCTGGTCGTCGTCGGAGCTTTGCCGTTGGCTTTAGCGGCTGGCATTTTCATGACGAGAGCACGACGAGCTGCCCTAAGCATTTTTATGGTGAGCATCATCTTCGGACAAGTTGTCGTTTGTTTGCAAGCTTTGGATGCCATCTATCAGATGGACATCACATGGCTCGACCCTGCCAAAGCCATTCTTCAATCCTTAGCAATTTTTAGTTTCGATTTAGATTTTTCCTGTGTTCTACCACCTCAAGACTTTGTGTTGGAATATGTGGTTCAGCTCACAGCCTATCCAGTGGTGGTTCTGGTCACGCTTTTGATTTGGTTGTCAATGCGTTGGTCTCGCACACCCGTGAGCTTCACTGCTTTTGTGAACGTGCATGGGCTTCTACTTGTTGCCTTGTTGACAGCCATGACACTCGCCATTGTTCGGCCCTTGCAATGCAGGAACAACCCCAACCGGCTCTTCACAATTGCTTCGAGACCAAACATCATATGTTGGAAAAGTCAAGAGCACCAGACGTTAGTGGTTCTTGCTGCAGCTGGACTAGTAGCGTATCCAGTGACAATTCTCGCAGCAATCACCTACCTCACAAGAAAATATCCCATCTGGCTACGCTCAGGAGGTGGAATTGAGGTGATGGAACGATACAGATTTCTTTTTGCTCGCTTCCGTCCTGAACGATACTATTATGGACTCATACTTTGTACACACAATCTCACCGTCGGAATTATTCCCGCTGCATTGGTGTCTTTTCCTGCATTGCAAGTTGGAATCATGGGCATTGTGATCTGTTTGAAACTCATTGTTCAAATTCTATTGTGGCCATGGAGACTTGACATTGCAAATTACAACGACTTGGCCTTATCTGCAGGTTTGTTGATTTTGCTTCTCTTGGCATCGCCTTTGTTGAACATCGATCGAGCAGAAACATTGACATTTGTGGCAATTTTGGTGTCGATTGTGATGATTGTCTTACCTGTGGTGGCCATGTTTGCAGCCCTTGCCGTGGTGATGGCAAGACTTCGACCACAAAGCAAATATGCAGCGTTTCTGTGTCATCATAAAGCAGGAGCTGGTGCCCTGTGTCGTTTCTTCAAGTTGGTTGCAAAGAAATATGTGAAGATGAACATTTTCTTGGATTCAGATGAACTTGATGACCTTGCCCGGATTTTCGATGTGGTGCGTGCAGACACCAAGTGCCTTGTGGTCGTTCTGACGGCCGAACTGCTGAATAGAATGTGGTGCGCTCTGGAAATAGCTTCTGCCCACAAGCACCAGGTGCTCATGACCAGAAACTAGATCATCACATGCCCATATCTTGCAACGCATTTTTTGCAGTTTTCCCAGATGTTTCAAGTCAACGTTTTCCACGATTTCACAGCAACCCATAGGCAGTTAAGCGTTGTCTTAAGTGGCCAATAGTGGCTATTTTACAAATTTTACCAACGCGTTGGCGTGATTTTTCTTCCAACTGACACCGCGTTTTAGTCATGGCCGATAGAAGTCGTGTGAGATGCGAAAAGTGCCTCGTAGCAGGTGCCTATAATCCCGCTGTACTGCGACGACTACGCGTTTCCTGACCACGACAGCATCGATGTCATCGAGTCCGTGTGGACCGAAGAGCAGCGCTCCACCTTGATCTCTTTCGGCACCTCCATGGACGACATCAAGGTCAGAAGCCCCACAAAGATGCCTTAGCTTGGGGATGCTCTATATGCTTTATAATTTAGAACAATTTAATATGATTACACAATATTATACGGCTTGTTGATCCATGTTTCCTTGTAGTTTACCAGAAATTGCCGGGTGACGTATTTGCCAGGCGCAATTTTCTTCTGTCTACGATCCAAGGAATCTATAAGGCTAAGGCCTTTGGGGAGAATTAGTGGCACAGTTGGTATCCGATAATCTGCGGTCCTAGCTGATATTTCCCTGACGCAGGAAGCATACAAAGCTGCATCAAAGCTGAGAGCAGTGAAGCTGAAACGGCGCTGGTCTTTGGAAGCTCAAGAAGATGCAGTTTTGAAGGTGCTAAGTGTTCTCTATGACCGACAAATTGCAGAAGTTGCTCCTGCTCCAGCGCCAAGAAGTGCAAACGTCTTGGTTTGCGTTGCTGAGCAAAATGAAGCTATTTCTGGTGGCTTCATCTTGCAGCAGATGGTCCAAAGGTATTTGCAGTCGGTCACCTTTCTGGTCCGGAGCCCATCACAACTCGAGCAAACCAAAGCCATGTTTGCATTGGTGATTTTAAGCAAAGGGATTTTGGAAGATGCCAGCTTTGCCCAAACTCTCTTGGCAATTCGATGCTCGGACTGAGAACTGTCACCAGAATATACCAGAATATCCAGTGGAGTGTTGCTAATTCTTGCTGCCCCATTGTTGCAGGGACATTGAAACGAGCAGGACCAGCATCTGTCTATCGTCTTGGCCAGAATTGCTAACATGACTATAGTAGCATGAAACTGACAGCCATGAAGGACTCAGCCGCATCTCTCTTACCAACCATCGGAAAAGTACGGATTATCAGATTAGCTTGCGCTACGTTGTAAGCAAAAGTATTCAGGACAAGCATCACTGCCATAGCAATGGCAGAATCTTTTGCGCCACGTCGAATCCATGTCAGGACCAGCATGATAAGTTGATCATGTTAATCATCATTCATCTGCATATTTTGCATACCAAGCAGACCAAGCAGTTGAAAGCATCAGCATTGTGATTTCAAGGAAAAGCAGAGATTTCTGTGGTCACCACCAATGATGGCAGCTTCGAATTCCCATCAATGGAATTCTACACTCAGGTATCTTGTCTCAAGCCAAAGGAGTGAAGAAATTAGGATCAGGTTTTTTGTTGGACACATGAAATTGAACATAATATTGGAGGTATCATGTGGCACATCAAACTTGGAACTCTGACGACTCCAATCGACTCCAAGTCCCTCATGTCTCCATGTCTCCCTTGTAGCATTGACAGTGATGACAGTGATGACAGTGTTCGGTTTGTTCCAGTGGACTCTTGGGTGAAAGGTGGAAGAGGGAAACCTCGTGATTCCGGGCATTTGCTCAAATATGGGTCCAGCCATTGCACGTGCTTACCAGGCCAGGATACAGATTGCCATCATGCAGATGGAAGCATATCATATCATATCATATCGACACAAAGAAAACACTGTGAATGTTGCCGGCTTGTGGCAGGCTTCGCTTCCTGCTGCGAATGGTTGAAGTTTTGTCACAACTTTGTAGGCTTTGCCCCCCCCCAGCTCTCGCCCTGCATTCTGATGAGGCCTTGCTGAGCATCTTGGCGCTGCCGATCACGCCTCATGCTTCCATGAGCATTCTGGAGAGGCCAAAGGCTTAGAGCGCCGTGCAGTTTTCGGGTCCTGTGCACGGGAGGGTCATTGACAGTCATTGCACATGATCTTGCAAGTCATGTACATTTACATCATTGTTCCTGATGTGAATATTACCTGCTACTTACACTACCCGCCGGTTGCTTACTGGACCCATCGTTGATTGTTTTTCACCATTTTGAAGCAGTAGTCAACATGTTGAGTTGCTATTCTTTTGCCACTCGGGATTTGGAACGGGTCCTTCAATAAGTTCGTACGCTTCTTGTCTGATGAGGCAAGTCCACCAAATCTGCCAACGCTTTGGCACCTGGGAAGACATGGAAGAGAGGCAGACTGGAAACCACCGTGCACTCAGCATGGGAGAACGTCGGGGGATAGGAATATCACGAAATCCTTGGGGGCATTTGATGTGCAGTTGCTTCAGGCATCTTCAATCTAGCTGCCAAGTTTGTTCTCAACTACCTCCATTGGATGGCAGTAGGGCAGTGCTGCTTTTGTAATCCTTGGCGTTCTGTTCCTGGTCTGTGGCAGGAAGATGTCAAAAGTCAGCCGGGTCCCTAGCGATTCGGACAAGAGGCTCCACGATGAAATCGAACGCACAGCCCAGGACTGTTGCTTGCTGCATCTGGGTCTGCCATGTTAGCTTGTTGAGAAACCATTGGCATCATAACTCACAGCACCATTTGATCCTTTCAATGCACGGCTGTTCCGCCGCATTTTTTTAAAACCCTTGAGCCTGCCCGCACAGTCCAAAAGCGCGCTGCTCCGAGTGTTCGACATGGTAGCGGAACCCCGGTGACGACCGGGGCTCCCGTGAGGTGGCTGGACTTTTTGGACAGGGGGACGCCCTTGAACAATCTGACGGCCTTCATCACCGTCTACGGTGCCTTCACCTACGGGTTGCCACCCGGGAGCTACTATTTCATTGTTGAGACCTTTGTGAGCCCAATTTTGACTTTTTCCTCAAGTACCAGAACACCTGGGAATTTTTGTGGCCATGCGGCCTACTACTCGCAATTGGCGAGGAGTTGGTGCGACTGCCTCCTGCGGACCTGAGATGATGCCACGCCTCCGAGGTCTACTACATCTGTGCCTTCGCCTAGACACCAACAAGGTGCTGCGAATCCTCTTCGGCCTGACCCTGCTGAAGGCCTACGGCTTGATGATGGCGTTGAACTTTAACCAGATCCCTGGGCACAAGCACCTCCACTGCCTGGTGTTGGACCTTTGCAGATGCCGTTGTCATTGAGCTCAGACAGCCGCGACGGTAGGAAACATGTGGACTATCGCAAGGACCTTGCACCAATTTGGGGAGGTGATAGCCGAGTACCTCAGAAACCTTCAACTTTGGTTGGTAGAAGCTGAAGCCAGGATTCCAAGTAGTCTGATTAGAAAACGAATCATAGACAGCATTCCACTTGGTTCCAAACTTAGCACTTTGCTTTCGCACCTCACCGTTGACGAGATCACCGCTCCTGAAGGCTTCAAGACCATCCTCTCTGTGATCGAGGATGCCCATGCCTACCTCAAGGACCAGTCTTTGGAGCAGGCCTTTGATGATGCCATTTTCAGAGGAAGGAGAGACAAAGGCCAGAGCCTGACATCCTTCCTGGCTGGCAAAACTGCGGCATTTGCAGAGTTGCGGAAGCAGGGACTTGACCTGCTGACTTCAAAAGCTGGCAGACATCTTCTTGGACATCTCATCTTGCGTCAAGGTGGATTCACGGTGGACCAGAAGCAGAGGTTGAAAGTTGTTACAAACGGCAGCATCGACTACAAGGACTTGGAAAAGGCCATCCAGAAGGTCTTTGGAGATCGTTTGGATGAGTACGCCAATGACACCACACCTGGAAGACGTTGGCGAAGTTCGACGTACTGGGAAGGTGGTGACTATGATGGATGGGACTATGACGAGTCCGAGACCTATGTGACTGCCAATGGAGACACCATTGACTACAACGAGTTTGCATGAATGACGACAGCTCTGAGGTCCAGATGGTTTTTCCTCAGGAGCTGCCGATGGTGATGGACGAAGCTGAAGCAGTTGAGACAGTTTGCAACCATGTGGAAGAGATCTTTTACCAGTCCAAAGAGCGTTTTGCTTGCAAGGGCGAGGGCAAAGGCAAGAAAGGAAAGGGCAAAGGCCCTGCAAAGACTCTTGGAGAAGCTGCTGCCTACCCCGGTTTTGGGAGCAAAGGCGGTTACCTGGAACACCGACGGCAACTTCAAGCTGTGAGAAATGGCCGTGGATATGATCGTCCATGGGCCCAACCACATGGAAGCCGCCACTCCTTGAATGACATCAAGGCCAAGTCGCGCTGTCATGCCTGCAAGCAGATTGGTCATTGGTCAAGGGAATGCAAAATGACTATGAGATCAAAGATGGCCAATGGCAATGTTTCGTCAGGTGCTTCAACGACAGCTGCACATGGCGGTATGTCGACTGGTTTCTTTGTGGCGTCACCGAAACAGATGGCTGATCAACTTGTGCAACAGTCCGGGAGTCAATACATGCAGCCGTCCTCACAGCAGTTTGTTGGGTTGTCATTTTGTTTCATGAATCAACAAGCAAGTTTGGGAACAGCTTTGGTAGATACAGCTGCACAACATGGTTTGGTTGGCATGGAAACCCTTCAAGAACATGATCGTTTGCTGCGTGAACGTTTTGATCTCCAAGTGCAATGGTCTGAGAATCGGGGGGGGAGTGTGCGAGGAGTTTGCGGGTCAGAGGAATCAACCAAGATAGCATATGTCCCCATTGGACTTTGTGGCAAATTAGGTGCACTACGTGTACAGGTTGTTCCTGGAGAAATACCATTCCTCTTGCCGGCATACTTCCTTGCAGAGTTGGGTGCAGTGATTGACATGAAACATGGAGTCATCTTTTACGTAGACTTAGGAGTGAAACAAACCAAGAACCGTTTGAGCACTGGCCATGTCTCCGTGAGCATCATTGAGTTTGGTGATGGATTTTATGTGCCGGTGAACTTTTCTGGCACAAAGAGTCAAGCCTGGTCTCCGAAGACCGTACCCAACTGGTCAGCTGTGACCTTAGCGGATGGTTGCGTCGAGCGAGCGATGGGCCCGCTGGCGGCGCTTGTTGCTGCGCTTCTTCACATCGATGATGCTGCAAGCATGGCGGAGACGTGTTCAGAAGAATCACCATTGACCTCGACAGTGCCTCTGTGATCCAGGACAAGGCCATCACTGCCGAGATGTCTGTTCACAGTGTCCTTGAAAAACTTTCTCTGGGCGCCGACAGCGTCGAGACCATCCTGATCTACAAAGAGATCCCCGTCCATCCAGATCTAGGCGAACCTGTGACTGACCAACTTCCTTTGAGTACGACCTCTACCACAAGACCTTCAACCAGAAGAAGATTCCAGGTTTATTGAACTTGGAATGAAAAGAAGCCTTGAAGACCCTACACCAAATGAACGACTTGCAAGCAGATCCAAGATCTTGCGGATGACAACACTGAATGGGGTGACAAGCAGAGGTATCCTGTGATTGCCAACAGCCGCGACGTGCACTTGTTCAACAAGATTGCCAACAACGACTGCTTTTATGAGATGGCCTCCAAGATGAAAGATGATAGCTTTTCCCTGAGCTACCTCACCAAGCAGTCTGGCAAAGAGTTGGATGAGAAAAAGCTGAAAGTCACGGAGATCAAGATGTTCCGCGAAGCCAAGAAGCTGGAGATTAACAACCTCATCAACTCCAATGCCATTGAGATCATTGTGGAGGACCAAGAGTTGAAAAAGATCCGAACAGAAAAGCCTCATAGGATCATGCCTTCAAGATTTATCTTGACCAAAAAGACTGGTGAAGTTAGAGAAACTTGGAAGGCAAAGGCACGTTGGATCCTCTTGGGCCACAAAGACCCCAATGCTTTGAAGCTAGAACGCTATGCACCGACACCATCCTCAACTACGGTCATGATGTGCCTTCAAATCATTTCCTCCATGAAGTACCACCTCTACATCATGGATGTCAGCTCAGCCTTCGGTCAATCTGACCCACATGAAAGAGAACAAGGTCCTCTTTATGCATCCATGCCACCCACTGGAATTCCAGATGTGCCACAACATGCATTGATTCGCGTGCTGACAGCTGTCTATGGCCTTGTGAATGCCCTAGCAGTTTGGCGAAAGACTGTGAGGCGACATTTGCTGGAGCTTGGATACACCGAGTCAGTCTTTGACCCCTGCCTCTACTACCTCAAGCCGACAGCTGAAGAGATCAAAGAGTTTGGCACTTTGGGCGTGGCTGGCGTTGTTTTGCTTGATGTGGATGATTTCTGCCAAGGAGGCAACCAACGACATGAGATGCTGATGGGCGAGCTACGCACAAAGCTCAAGTTTGGCAAATGGCGTGATGTTTACAACAGCTCTGCCGAGTACATTGGCCGAACCTTGAAGCAGCTTGAAAGTTTTGAGATTCAGGTGAGCATGAAGCGCTACATCGAGGAGAAGCCGAAGGCTGTCAATCTCCCCAAGGAGCGCTTGAAACAAAAGACTTCACCTTTGACTGAAACCGAAGCTACATGGCTGCGAGGTGTTGGAGGTTCACTTTTATGGGTTGGAAAAGAAGGAAGACCCGATGTTGGAGCTGCATGCGCGATGGCTATGAGCTGGAGCAGTAGCGGACCAACAGTGGACCACATCCTGATGGCCAACAAGACCGTCATCGAGTCATCGAGCTCAAGAACACGGCGGACGCCATGCTCCGGGTGATCCCCATTGAACCCAAGAATGGCATTTGGATGAGCATTGCAGATGCCTCGATGGCAAACGTGGAACAGAAGTCACAAGGTGGCTGCATCATTGCGTTTGCGGAGGAGATCATCTTAAAGGGCGAGAAGGCGTTCTTCAGCATCAACAGCTGGCGAAGTCATCGCCTTAGGCGTGTGGTGAAAGCCACGCTGGGATCAGCAGCATTGGCCATGGACGATGCTCTTGCTGAAGTGGAATGGGTGAGAGCGTTGTGGCATAAGGTAATGAACCCTGCCTCGAGCGTGCTGGATGGGACGCGCCTTGGTGATCAGCAATCAGCGCTTGTGATGCGATGCCCCGATGACAAGGAGTTTTCTGAGTGGGCTGCGAGCATTCAGATCGTTGACAATGGTCTGGGTGCACATGTCACAGATGCAAAAGCATTGTATGACCTCTTGCACCGAAGGTCAGGAAATGCTGGCCAAGACCGTAGGGCACAGATAGATGTAGCAGTGATTTGTGTTTCTGCCAGAGCACTTAGCAATGATTGCAGATCCCCTGACAAAACGTTTGGGGAATGGTGCGCTGCTGAGAAGGATCATGGCAGAAGCAGTCTATGCGTTGTCCAAAGAGTCAAATGGTGACTGCAATGGACCCCCTGAAGGATGAGAAACCACTGGCATCATAACTCACAGCACCATCTGATCCTTTCAATGCACGGCTGTTCCGCCGCATTTACTAGGGCCCTTGAGCCTGCCCGCACAGTCCAAAAGCGCGCTGCTCCGAGTGTTCGACATTGTTTTTTGCATTTGGTTCTTGGAATCATGTTAGATATCACGGAACTGTGGTTTGGCCCAGTAACTCAACTGACGCAGTGAGACGCTGTACTGTGACTGAACGCCTGCCGTGAGAGAAACTGAAGCTGATCACTACTACACTGTTTGGCTGGCTTGAAAGTGAATTGGAAGCTTCGCATGGTAGCGGAGCTACCTGGCTCCTACTGTGCTTGAAGACTTTGGCGGTGGAAGAGCAGAACTGTACCACTCCCTGCTGTGAAGAGTCGAACTACAGTAGAACTGTACCACATTGCAAGTCACAGTGGGAAATTGCGACCTTTGAAACCATGGAGAAGTGGAAAGACGGGTCATGGCATGTGAGGAGCTACGTTCTACATTCCAAGCACATGTGCTGAAAGTGATGGATGCTGCTGAAGAAGCCATTGCTGTCATCACCCATGACTCTGTACAGGTGATCGAAGACAACACAGTTGAGCCCAATGGCCTCATGGCTTTTAGTAGGCAGCCGTTCTACTTGCTCAGCCTGATTACTAAGAACTGTGCTAGACTGCTGGTTCGAAGTACCTTGGTACAGAATGGGCTTAAAACTTGGCGCTTACTAACTGTCACGTAGATTGCGCTTCCGATTCCAAGTGCTGCAATCCACATTAGTTTCTTGACTGAGGTGCTTGAGTTTAGATCCAGGACTGAACACTTTGAGCAAGACTGTATACACTGAATGGAAACCACTCAAGAGTAGGCACGGGGGCCAAACAGGAGCAGCCCAGCACACCGGTAGAAACACTGTTGAAGAGGACGCCGGGGTCACTGCAACAACACCTGAGACTGAATGTGGGAACATTGAGCGCGTGTGACACTGTTAGAAATGTGATACTGGACTACTACCAATCGCGTCATGCTGTTGAAAGTGACACTCCGACTCCAATGGACATAGGTGCCATGTGGAAGAAAGGAAAAGGAAAGGGAAGAGTAGGACCGTACACCCTGAAAGGAAAAGGAAAAGGCAAAGGAAGAGTAGGACTGCACCCCTTTGGCCAGAAAGGAAGGGGGAGAGCAGGACTGAACACCCTCAAAAGATGAAAGCTGGATTGAACTACGAAGGTAAAGGTGACAGTCAGAGATGGTGGAACCGCGGTAACTTTGGGACACTTCAGTAAGGACTGTAATATGACGGTGAACGCAGTTGACTATGTGACTGGTGACGCTCTGGAGGATTGGATTGAGGAAGAATGGAATGATTGGTTTTGTTCAGTGACCATATTACGAGGACTGGACAGGCTGGACCCACTGGACAGAACAGAGCAAGACACTCAGACTGCCGGGCGCTCAACTAGATTCTAGATCCAGTGGATCAAACGATGCGAACTTAGTTTCACGGCCGGCCACTCAGAACTTAGCGTCGGGCGCTCAATCGACTGCGCCCACTGCTACTGTTTCTGCAGTTAGTTTTGACCGAGACTTTCTCAATTTCAAACGACAGAAGTTCTGTTCGAAGAGCATAAAGAACTTTGAAACTAGTTGCTGCTGGAACACTTTTGGGTACCGTCGCTGTCTTGAGAATGTTTGGCAGATCCGAAGGACTGTCACTGGACTGAATCCTCAACTGCGTCAGATGTTTTAGATCTGTTTCACGGGAATTGTTTAGTCTCACTTTCGCTTCAAGAACATTGGGTCTGGTTTGGCTTTGCAGAGCTGCTGTTCACTGCCGTCCTTTGAACTATGCCTCAGACTACCCTCTCCTTCCGCTGGGTCACTAGATGAGGATCCGCCTAAGTTGCGAAGTGTGTGTGGGAGACCATTGCGACTATATGGATGTAGGCTAGTTCGCTAAAACTGTGACGGTGTGTACTTGGATGTCAACTAGTATGTTTGCGATGTTCTTTTTTTGTCTGGCTTCTGTTGCAAGAATGGTTTTGCAAAATTTTGGGACTGTTCTTGGAAAAGACTGTTTGATGTTGCTGAATTGTGAAGGTGAGAAGATTTCAATCACTTGACTCGGCACTTTGCTGTACCTGACGCCATCACTTGAACCATCTTCCACCGTTCCGCCAGAGTTTACTGCGCGCTTCGAAGAACACATGAGAATTTTCCAGTGAATTGAGTCATGTCACTACTGAAGAGAGCACGGTCATGCTTGAAAGTGACGCACTTGGAAAATTGGAATTTCTCATTGGAACTATGAAACCAAAGTACCATCACGCCGATGAATGGCAACTGGATCAAGCAAACTACAAACTGACGAGAACCCACAAACGGCCAAGAAGAAGCCTGTTTACTCCTGGTCCTGGATGTCCTGCTGAACTGAACCAACTCTCCAGAGTTGGACTACTTACTTGGACATGGACAAGGAATGACTGACAAGATAGTGGACTTTGAATCCAAGGCGTTGTCAGAACGAAATATGAGACAGGATGGGTTTTGGAAAGGTAGAACTGTTTTCCTTCCAGCTGTCCCAACTTCAGCCTCGGAGGCTGCGCAGACTGCAAAGCAACCGGACCAACAGGTTCAAGATACTGAAGTCACTGAGGGCACAGCAAAAAAGTTACGAAGGCGAGCCACTGATACTGACAGCTGAACTGTTGTCATGCACTGAATGGAGCTCTAGTTGTCTCAGGGTGAAGCTGACTGAACTGTTCTTTGTTCCAGATCCGACAACCGGTGAACAGAGGACTGGTGACTACTTTCAACTTCCACTTGCGTGGGTCAGATTTCATCTCACACACCAAGAAACACATTGTATGAGCCTGACTTCATGGACGGAGGACCAACCCCTGAGGATCCATGCGCATAAATAGGGTCAAATCGGAAATGCATGCAAATAATGAAGTCATTTCTGATGATCGCAAATAGCGCACGCATTGTCGAAATGTAAAAGTCGGAGATTGCATGTTATCGGAAAAAGGTTCATATTGGCTTCAAATTGCCTAACATTGTTGCGTGACAAACCGTGACAAACCGTGACGAACCGTGACAGAAGACAAAAAACTATACTTAAATCTTGGGCATTGTCGGAAAACGCCGTGACAGACCGTGACAAACCGTGACAAGGTCAGCGGCTATTCCCCATAGACTGTCCGAATTTATCGGAAATCAATCGGAAAATAAACTGTCGGAAATGCATACAAAAATCATGGTCAGACCGCAAATAGCATGGTCGGACGCTCTGAGAGCGTGCATACCCAAATGCATGCAAATAGTCCATACTTTGGATCCTCGGGGAACTACAGACCAGCTTGGTTCGAAACGTTGGTTTTCGTGAACTCACTTGATAGGCCTAAGAGTGATGGAATGACTTTCTGCAACTGGTGGAGAGAAGAAGACCAGATACCTGAACATGATGAACGAGGTCTTGACGTTGACCATACGTGAGCCGGATACGCGATCTTTGAGCCCGCACCACTGAACCGTGAAGAAGGCCAACTAATAAGATGATACTGAGAGGCTCTGAATTTAGACTGTTGGCAAGAGGAGTAAGCCAGCATTCGATTGAGAATGCTGAAGACGGCTAGGTTGACTGTCTTTGCATGAAACTTGCAACTGGCACTTTAGACTTTCACAAGCGTATTGAAGTCCGTACTTTCCAAGACTTGGACTGTTTATCTTGCACGTACTGAAATGGGTGCAAGTCAAAATAGGAGGTCCGGAACAAGCTCCGGGACCACACCCGTTCCATACCCCCGTTCCATACCCCCGTTCCATACCTCCTTGAAGGATCCGTTCCATACCTCTGTTCCATACCTCTGATCCATACGTTATGATATATATATATATATGTATTTATATATATATGTATTTATATATATATGTATTTATATATATATATATATGTATTTCTATATATATATAAGTACATATATATATATATATATGTATTTATATATATATACACCTGAATATGTGCAGTCTGATTTTACATTTGTAGGCGCATACTTGAGCGCACATACATACATGAGTGTGTACATGCAAGAATAGGTTTACTATGCCCAAGCCCTGTGATTGTGTTGGCAAGTCTGTGCCTGCAGCGTTTGTTGTGTGATGGTAGGGATGTGCTTGGCTGTTGTCAGCTGGCAGTCTAAGAATGGATTGCTTGTAACCCTCCCTCCCTCTCAACCTGTGGCAGGTTTGCGCCTGCACCACTTACAGTTGCTGCCCGCTGTGTCACAGCTGTGATGTTTGATGGTAGAGATGCGCTTGGCTGTTGCCAGCTGGCAGTCTAAGAATTGC